CTTCCCGGAAGTGCCGCAATATTTGTATGTGGCAAAAGCATATTCTGTCACTATTACTATAATAACAAAAATACCAATTCATTAATCTTCATTCTCAGCTGTATATAAATCTGCTGACTAAATCTTTTAAAATTAAATCTTGCAAAAAAGCTAACAAAACAAGAAAATCAAAGGAAATGCACAGCGTTGTTGCATTATTATGATCATTATAAGGTTTATGTGTTCTCTATAATGCCTTACAATATGTATTTTTATTTATTTTTTTAAATATATCTTGAATCATGCTTGCCAATCTTTACACTTTATATTTGATGTATAAGGAGTCTTGTACTAAATAACCTGTATCCTGAAACACTATAAAATATTTTAAAAATATAACAAATTAAACCTTTAAATAGGTATACCTTAACGTTATTGGAGATCTGAGTGCTACGGTAATAAACAAAACCTGCACAGATACCGGTGTAAAATGTCTTACAGTTTTCATTTAGGGTCACCGAACCCAGGAAGGTTAATGGAAAGAGGCCAGATCTTTGGTAAAACTTACAAAAATATTACATTACTAATTAGCGTAATGGAGAACATTAACACTTTATGTGAATACTCCCAACTCTATTGGCTTATAGTCTATTACCAGATATGGCATTTCCCATGTTATATATAACATTAATTAATACCATATTTCCTCTCCCTATTTCCTATATATATTTTATTATCATATTTACATAAAACACCCTTATTTTCATATTAGTGTAGATTCTGAATGTCTATTTTTCATTATAATGCCTTTAAGTATGTTTGACATTATTTCCGTAATTACACACTACCTATTATCATAAAGCTACAAAACAACTTGCCCGAATCTGTTCTTTTAAACTTGTTAAACAATGGACATACAATAATGGTTTTATGACTTGATAAATTAAACAATATTTCGTGTTTTATCCCTTCAAGTTGATTTGTAAGGGAAAATATCATTTAAAAATGATTTTTTTTATGTGGAAATGAAGTAACAAATGTCGTTGTTAGCTAATCTGAAAGTCCTGTTGACCTCAGGCATTTCACACCTGGAAAAGGAATTACATACTGTAAAGTTTAAACAGAATCGAAGGATGTTTCTTTTAATAATTGACCCCTAGTATGGCATATTTTTCTTGGAAAAAAAATACAAAACAAATCAAAAGTTAAAAAATAAATAAAAATAATGAAATAAAGAGCCTTACGATTTGTAGAAACGACTGCATCTTCCCTTTTTAGTATTTTTATAACAATATTTCCTGGACCTTTGATATGTAAAAGCATTGCTTTCATGGACAATGAATAATTTAAAATTGTTATTGTATTCACGACTTGGCTAATATTAAACTGTATCGGGTAACTCTGCGTAACAGGCAAAAGTTAATCCAATCAGGTTCTGCATAAAATATTTTCACTTGTAGCCACCTCAATAACTATGCCGAAATTGCAAGATCTATGCTTGAGGTAATATGCAGTATCCATGACTGTGTTCACGCAGAATGTCCTGTGACGTTGTAGAAATTCCATATTAAAATACAAGTGGTCACTTTCTGCAAAACGAAGAGCCAAGTTTCTTTCTGTCGCCTATGACAGGTACAACTGGCTCTGGCCCCGAAACCCAATCCAAGATGATAATAAATATTCCATATTTTAAGAACGAACAATGATAAATAAATGCTTTCATTTTTTAAGAAAAAAAGTCTGAACTTTTGAATAAGTTTATTACACATATACATTTATTAATATAGGATATTTTCATTTTTAAAAGCAGTGGAAACACAGCAATCTACTGTGAAATAGTAGCGTTCCAGTGCCCTAGACTCCTTTCTGAAGTTGCTTTACTTGTTTAGATTACTGCCACTTGTAACTTTTAGTTACAATTCCTGTTTTAACCTATCAATTGTGTTATTAGTGTAAATATGAAAGTTATTTAAGTACATGTACAAGAAAAACCAATTTCCGTTGACGTCATTTGTCAACTTTTAACCACGAGAAACCAATATTTCACACACCAATTTAGAACTGTGAACAAGTCAGTTAATTAAATACAAAATCTCAATCCCTGACGATTGCATTGTGAAATAAGTAGTTGGTAAGATATTCAAAAGTCGGCATTATTTTCATTCAATTTGAGGGATATATTACTACAGGTATTTTGTTTAATGGGTTTATTGAAATAACGCCATATCAATGTCTTTAATGTTGCTTATATGATATATACATTGAACATGTCCTAAAATGTTAAGTTCGGTCTTGATATATTCAAATATTTTTCATGTAGAACATGTTGAAATTTAAATATCAATTTTTTTCGTGAGATGAGATGTAATAACTAATAAGTAAAATTGTCATGTTAAACACTTGCTGTTCTCTATTGAGATTTCATTTAATTCGAGGCTTTAACTCGCCTTGCGTGTAGAAAAATAACATTGCTCATGTAATAGCTTCCTTCGTGTCCGTAACAAGCGAAAAGGTTGTTTATTTTATGAATTTGGCCTTAAAATTTAACAAGAGGCCCAAACGCCTTAGCGGTCACCTGAATTATATCTCTGTTTTTAACAAATGAAAATCACAAACGTAATAAAACTGCCTTATCCAATATATAGCAAAGAAATTAAAACATTCCAAGAATTGCTTGTAGCAAGGGTGTACTTAAGGGTCATTGCACAAAATTAGGCAAATCCAACTCTTGGGGCCCTCACTGAGGTTTTTAAGACGTTAAACCTCATTGACAACGAATTTCCAACCTGTTTGGTAATTCCAACTGATAATGAATACAACTACTGAAAGATTTGACCCCTGTGACCTTGACAGTTAATCAGGGTAATTTATTTTAATGAACTTGATAGCCCGTAAGCCCAGCATGCTACATGTCAGATATCAGACATCTTGACCTTTCGGTTATTGAGAAGTTGTTTGAAGGTTTTAACACATTTGACCCCTGTAACCTTTAAAGCACGACGTAAGAATTAAAGAGCAAAGTTGAATAACAAATAAATAGCGATGGGTCACTTGAGTCCTACGTGACCAAAAAATCTGAAAGCAACATGATTCATTATAAGGAAGCAACTATTACATATAATATATCAGGTTTTTGATTCGCTCAAGGAACTTTATTATATAACTGTGAAAAGAGGGAAAAAATAGTGTGAGAAACACCATCTGCAGTCTGTCACTCCCTGATATATAAATATAATTTTCAGGTACAGGTATGTAATGCTTTCCCTTCGTACCTAACTTTAAATTTTGTATCTAAGTATTGACAGAATCGGAGGGGGGTTGGTTTACTTTCTCATAGCGATCTCTCTAGTTTGGTTCCACTAACTACCAGATCCGATTGACCTGATGTAGATGGTGATGATGATGGTTTCTCGTCTCCGTGACTCTGCCCGGGGATTGTCCAATCGACGTGTGACGATTCTCTGACTACGTGAGGGGGGAGGGGGGCTCCTCTCATGGGTTGGAGTTGTCTGGGGGTTGACTAGTATGTAATTTGTAATTTGGAGACGACTCCCTATTCTAAACGTAGTCTTGTGGTGATGTGGTCTGGATTTCCGGCGGGGGAGGGGATCCTTTTCTTCTTTTCCTGTCGAATCACCAGGCTGTCTTACTATGATTTTTATTTATTTATTTTTTTTTTGTTTATGGGAAAGTTAGAAGTCCTTTCCTAATAGAATAAAAATGCCATTAGACCGAAAGTTGTTATAATTAATACTGGCATGTTCGGGCTCCTGGGCGGCGTTAAGCGCCTACTCTTATTATCGATTACCGCAGGAGGATCTTTTTCGTGCGAGGTTGGACAATTCTCACACAGGCCACCGTTTAAAGTCCCGTCCGCCGGACTATGATTAGTTGTTAGTTGGTGCTGGTGTGAAAATTACTACTTTACGTCCCATCTGCTTAACCTTCCGACCGCACTGCAAGTAAACCTCTCTGCTTTCCAAAATGTCTATGGCTTTCTGTGACACCATTCTCTCCCCTCAACATACATTGTTTCACCTTATTAACTTGTGTCTATTTGTGCTAATGTACTTGTTTTTAAAAGGGTTTAGTGATGTTTATGACGAGATGTTATGATGTAAGGTTATTCAAGATGGATAGTGGGATTCAATACTCAGGGTGTTGTTGGTGGATTTAGGCTATGTTATGTATTTAGAAGTTGTACCATGTTAATACTAGAATTTAAACTGATCTGATGTGCATTGTCTCTCTTTTTATATCTGATCACATTTTGCGTAAGGTCTGATGGAGGCTTTCCACCTACACACTAGTGCTATTCTAAAGCAATTTAACACGCAGTTATTTAGACCTTGTTGTCAATTACCACTCCATCATTGTAAACCCTGCAAGACAAACTCCACATACACTGTAAGGTAAAATCTTTTAGTAGCTTGATGATTTGTTGATCGAAAAATGGAGATGTTAACCTTTTGAAGGAATTATACTATCTGCAAATGGGGACATTTATTAGGTCGAACACTTCCCCTGCACTCTTAACTTACATTTTGAAATATCTAATAGTCCACTAATGTTTAAGATTAGAACTAATTCACTTTGTTCCCCAATACAACAATAAAGGTTCTCTCTGGTCTCTCAGTAGTGGTTCCAGAGTTGCTGTTCACGATTAATCCACTGTGTGACGACGAAATCGTGGAATGGAGAGTTGTTTAGTGTCGGTGTTGCAATCATCGGATCGTAGCTTGGTGACTTGTTCCTCATAAATTCTAGGTATGGGTTTCACCTCCTCTAGATAGCGGGTATGGATGGTCGCCACAATCTCCTGAGCGATGATCTTGCCATGATCTTGTTGGTGATTGCAGGGATGATTGTAAGGATGACTGTAGGTAAACAGGTGGAAAAACAGCAAATCGATTTTATTTCTTTTTCAAAATTGTACAACACTACATTACAATATTGACTATCCTTTATCTCTATAAGATAACATTTTTAATCCCGATTGGAATTTCGGTGTCAGTTTGGTTTTAGGTGATCTTGACTGCCTTAATTTTGAAATCTTGTGGATAATTTACTACACCTGATATCGGTTCAAGTGTTGGTAAGTTTTCATCGTCTGCAGGAAGAAGTTTGAATCGTTGTATCAGTGATGTCAGAAATAAGAAGAGTTCCATCCTTGCTAGGCTTTCCCCAAAGCATACTCTTCTTCCTATATTTAATTAAAATTCACGAAGAAAAATGAAATGTAATTGATTGAAATTAAAATTTAATGATTTGAGGTTTTTTTTTTTCGAAAACCACCTTATCGAGAATATGCAAAGTTAATTTAACGATGTAGGTGAAGAGAACAACGCCAGCATGGAAATGGTATGAAAAGAGACAGAGAGGTATTAAGGATCATTGATCAATATATTGGCAATATCACAGACATTTAGGCTTACCTAGAGAAAATGCAAGAACTGTGCGCTCTTTTCCATTAAGCTGGCCGTCTTCGCCGATGAATCTTTCTGGGTTAAAGGTATGGGGATCGGTAAACAAGGTCTCGTCAAATAAAGCGGAATCGAGGTTCGGAACTACCAAATCGTCCTTACGTATTTTGTATCCTTTGAAATCTGTGTCGTGTTTGACTCCATGTAACAGGGACAACGGAACTAAATTTCCCATACGCAATGTCTCATGAATAAATGCATCAGTGTACACCATTTTTGGTTTATCAGTCATAGACGGAAGTCGTGAGGATCCTATAACCTCGGTAATCTCATCCCGTAGTTTTTTCTGCACGCATGCGTTGTGAAGGAGAAACAAAATCGCCCATTTGATGGTTGTAGCTGTAGTTTCAGTTCCAGCAACGAACAAATTGGACAATACAATTAGCAAATTCGCATCTGAAAACGACCAAAGGCATGTCCATTAATTTGGAGCAATTTGAAATATACATGCATAAAAATAACATAATCCAATCTCAAATTCAATCAAACTAGGACAAAATAGGAACAAAAGAAAGATTTACACGGAGACGTTTAAATAAGTACTAGAACAAAGAACAAGTTCCTGAAAACCAAGGGTCTTCTGATGACAACCGCCATATAAATCTTGGTCAGTACAAACAAGTAATGTCACGATCTCAAATGAGAACAAGGTATACAGCAACGGAACCAACAAGCAAATTAACTAAAATCAAACACGTCCATCTCCATATCGCACAAAGAAACAGAATAGTTCTCAAAGAGTTCAATATAGCGATCGTAAAACTTCTCAATGATTTTCATCAACATGCATCTTTTGAGTTTATCCGGTCGTCAGTAGGCTGTTTCTTTCTGAATCAACATGTAAACACCCTAGGTTGGGTGCGCAGGCCGGTAATTACCAAGAAATGGAAATTTCACAATAGATAAATAGAAATCATCAAGTTTATCATACAGCTCCGTAGAAAGCCGTTCATGTTGGTTTCGCTTAAGGAATAGATCGGGATAAGTGGCTGATGTAAAAGTCAGTAGTTTCCTTGATTTCAAATTCTAATGGGTATATACGATGGACGTAGTCAATAAATTTGTTGTTATCTAAAGACAAGACGTCACCAATATATCTGAAAGTGAAATTAAACGATTTTGCAAGGTCTTTGCGACCTGTCTTGATAAGCTCTTCATTTAATTCAGAAAACAAAAACAAGTCAGCCAATAGAGAGAAACATTTAGTTCCTATAGGTATGTCAATGGTCTGTTGGAAGATCTTACCTCCAAACTTGGCGAAGATTTTGCCGACCATATGTCGTTCCTCGCATATTTCTTTTTTGAGTTTGACGTATGTTTCACGAAAAAAAATGTAAATCAAGGAATTCCCAAATAACAAAAAAGACACAAAGAAGTTACAGCTTTCGATAGAGTAGAATTTGATACAAAACAGAAAATGTATAGCCGAAATGTCTCGTCCTTCACGGACAAGTCAATGATGCTAGTGGTATATGGTGTACCATAATGTGATATTTAACCGGTGTTTACCTCACACAAACGTTCTCACAAAAATAAATTGATAGTGGCTGCACATCCTACCTTCTAAATACTCATTTTTGCCTCTTTTGATTTCTTCTTCTATGAATGCGTCGATGAGATCTCTGATGTTACCGCTTTGAAAAGTAGCTCGATGTCTGTCAATCTGCTGTTGCATGGCGCTCTTTATATTATCATAATTTCTACTCATCTCTTCTATATGAGTCACATCGCCAGGGAGATATCTATATAAACACAAAACATTTTAAAGATATTAGCCTTTGGTGGAAATAATTTGAATAATTCTGCAAAAGAAAACAGTCAGTTTTTTCAATCTGTTCGATCCAATACAAGTGCAATGTTCTAAGCGACCTCCTCGAAAGCTATTGTCTGTTTTTCTCTCGTTACCTATTTAAATGTGAAGCAAAACAGGACAAGATAAATGCTGCGCGTAGAATATGCAATGGTTAAGTGCGGGAGGGTCCTGGGTATGAATAGGATTCAGCTTGAATAGGATATTCCTCTTCTGTTAATTCCTCGCCAATTGCAAATCCTTGTCACTTATAGTATGTGAATTTTATAAATAGGGATATCAGAACCTAAGTTGACAACAATTTCTACTTTTAAATGTGGATATTTATAACAGACAGGGGTCGTGACTGCATTTATCATAACGATGGCCATATAACAATATATATTTTATTAATCCAACTTTCTTCATTGATAAAATGAATGGAATAATAATGGGATAATATATTAACAGAATATATAATTTCTCTTCGATAGGCATTAATGAATTAAAATCATGAAATAATTCTTCATGTTATTTACTATAAAGTAGAAATAGGGATACGTACTTGGTTTTTGCGCTATGTGCATTCCATACAGTATTATTCCAGAGAGAGAAAATTCCTTCTTTTTTATTGGATTACAAAAAAAAATTAACCTATCTTAATGTGTTTTGTTGTTTGCTGATTTTAGTTATTAATTGGGCTCTTTAAAATATCTCTTCTTCTGAATCAATTCTGCATGTAAAAGTTTATATCTCCTGGTTTAAGTTCATTTGAATTGACTTGACAGTTGTTTTTGAAATTATCAGAAAAATGATGAAAATTACGAAATGTATTGATTCACGTTAATCAGTGTACTTCCGAAGCTAGATTCTAACATTTTGATAAATTTTGATCTTACTCGTGTGAATTTTATGTTTTGAAGTATTAGTGCCTTCAAAATCACTGACTGGTGATAGGGGAAAGTAGCACTGCATGTCGCTCTGTAATAACTATTTGATTCTACTGTATCAAAGTCTACATGATTACCGAAATGTGATATCTGCTTGTGTTTTGTTCAGTCCTAGTAAACAGATGTATGCAGTTATTCGCTTTGTCTATGCATGCGCACGTGAGGTGTACAAAACATCTGAAATCCTCTGATTATTTAATATCCATGCCATATCATTACATCATCAAGTTCTACAGCTTTGATAGTCATTGGTAAGGGTAAAGACATCATATGTCACATGCTTTACCAGGCATCACCTTATCCTCTTAAGTACATAGTTTCACTGCAACAAATTCTATAGCTGATTGCATTTTGATGGTCTTTCGTGGAAGAGATAAAGATAACATTTAACTGATTTTGAAATGAAAAATAAGAGGCCAATGGCTATACCTCCTGCCTACAACATTCATTCATTTCATAAGAACTGAAGATTTGTTATTCTTTTCTTGACTGGAAATTTATGTCCCGTAATATTTAAGGTCAATACGGATGACAATATCAATAAATGAGGCAACAAACGGTAAAAAAGCTGTATGTATTTAGTCTTAATGAACAATATACTTCTATGAATTAAGCAATATTTCTTAGTATTCGCTATAAACAGATTGACCAGATCCAAGAGTGAGTAATTCGAAAAACAAGAACAGGAACAAGAACAAAATTCAGAGAAAACAGTGCTGACAAATTTTGATATCTTCATTTATCGCGTCTTTATAGCGCTTTTTGTATTCTAGATACCGACCGCGAATCCTTGACCGACGTGCTCGCCTAACGTGCTTATCTGGTTATCAACATGTCGGTAAGTAGTGATAACAATTCCATAAAAATGTATTTAAATGTACAATCATGCTTTAAATCATGCTATGGAAGGCCAAAGCGATATGCTTTTTTATTCCATTTCATTACCTTTCATAATCAACTCAAAGGCCATTCTACTGTACTGTCTTTCTGTAATATCACAGCTTATTAACAAGAAGGAAGCATTTAACACAATAGGGCATTTTATCCTAATAGAAAAACATCATGGCTTCTCAAGCAAACTTGATAAATAATTTTCTTTTTAAATTCAGCACATTAGCGCTTCATTTTGACATTCACACCGCCCTGGAATGCCATCTTTAAGCCGTTCAATACTTCTACTGTAAAATCATACATTTTCGTGTGGCTTAAATTTTGTGGTTTTCCAAAAATATAGTCATTGATTTCATAGAATAAAAAAGTAATCTGTTTATCATTTCGTGGGCATTCATCTCGTGAATTTAGAGTACTAACATCTTCAAAATATATTCCTTGTAAAAATGATGATTTTACAGTATTTATCATTTTCAATATCCTCTTTTTTATAGTTCTAAGGAGAAACAACATCACTTTCAATATCCCTATATCTTTTGCAGAACAAGTGGTATTACACAAATGAATTTTGTAAGGAAAAACTTCAAGAAAATATCAGCATGTCAACATAATCATACTTAAATAGAGACGTCTAAAAACGTACAAGGAGAATAAGACCATGTGATACGGAAGAGTAAGCATCTTATGCTTCATCGACGACACTCGTCAATTAAACTTTTTTGTCAACCCTAGTTAGTATTGTCACGTTCTGAAATGAGAACAAGGTATACAATAACGGAACCAACAGGCAAACTAACGAGCATCACACACGTCCAGCTACGCCTTTGCAGTTCCACATAATGGTGAATATTTGTAGAAATATACAAACATCAAAAACAACAAAAACTTAAATCAACATAATACATGTTACCTGAGCACCGGAAAGAAATTTGTAATGGCACTTTTCGTAAGCAACATTACATGGTCGTCAATCATTAACATCAGCTCCTTGAACGTCTTGTCTTCATGTGCATATCTTTCGCCAAACGAAATGCTGCAAATGATGTTAGATACGCTGATCTGTGCGATTTTTCCTAGAGAAAAAGCATCTCCACACTTTCCTCCAATGATGTCTAGAAAAACGGACACTTCCTCAAGAATTTTGGTTTCTAAGGACCTCTTTCCAAATCCAAACTCTCTCAAAGCTTGCAATGAAAAGGCTCGGGTTTGTTTCCAAAGATTCCCAGAACTACGAACAATACCTAGAAAGATTTTGATCAAAAGAAATCATGTTTACTTAATGTCCACTTAATATCAGTGTATTTGACGAAGAAGAAATTAAATCAAACAATAATTCAGTTGCTCAGATCAGCGTAATGTAAATCACATGCGCATTGGTATAAAAATGAAGGAATGGATACAGAAAAAAAGTCTCATAATGACAATGATTTCCAATGAATGATTAAATCAAGACTTGATACCGAGTAATAGCATTGTTGATAAGCAACATGTTCCCTCTAGATTTCTTTTAATATATATTACTCATGAAATCCGCCAAAACTAAAACTACAACTTAATTATAATATATCACACAGACAAATGAATAGAAAGATTAAGAGTATCCAAGAAATTAACGACACTTAACCCCTAGGAAAATGAAAGAGGTTATTAATAATAGCGCGTTTTATAGACTTATAGACGTACAAGATGAAAACTGGTTTATCAATACCATATACTAATTTTCTTTGCTTTTGACTAAGACATTTTACCTCGAATAGATTTAATACACATTAACCGCCAAAAACCTCAGCGAGAAGAAATATATACTCTATTACTGTATACACTATGAGCTCTCTGGTACTTACCTTTGCAATTATGGGATCTTTTAGAAATGAGATCATCTACTGGTCGGTCAGAAAAGACATCAGCTCGTTTCACAAACGCTTCCTTCAAGGTCTCATAGCCATTGATTACCACCATTCGTTTGCTACCTAATTGTAGACTGAATACGTCACCGTAACACTGTCGTAACTGTTCAAATAATTTTGTTTTGCTTCCAGACAAAAAGAGTGGGAAATTTCCCACAAGTGGATATCCACGAGGTCCCGGAGGACCGTTGTTTGGAACATACACAAGCTTCAGAAGAAACAATAAGCCTAATATAACAAAGGCTAACGTGAAGAGATCGAAATTAAATAGAGCATCCAACATCCTGGACTAGTGATGTTCAGTGAGTGTTCCCCACATACATACCAACCCATATGATGTGATTAAGACTTGACGCCGATACGGCTTGTTATTGACCTTGACAAACACATTATCATCTGATATCTTGTTTAACACGTGACTGTGGGTAAATAAAAACAAGACTATGAAGAAATGACTTTACACACAGTAAGATTACTGTGACTATAAATTTCTAAACTGATATGCCGCTTGTCATACTATCAACATAATGCAATGTTTTAAAAAATTGGTACAAAATGGTACAAATATTATTTTAACGTAATTAATATATAAGTCAGTCTAAATAAAAGCAGTTTCTTTTTCCATTCATATATTACTATAGATGTTTCCTCATTCATTATATTTCATTTGAAATGCAACACAACATCTGAACGGTCAATGAAGATAATTTGCGACAGTATAACCACTACATGTCGTTCGTTAACTTTTCATCAGCAAATCTAGTCAGTGACCTAGATTGATCACAAGCTTATTGTGAAATTTTAGTGACGGTATCCAATTGAGTTTTACCATCGACGCGTAATGGAAACAACAGAACGGATATTTCCGAATACTTTGAACGTTATGCCCCCTTTTACACTATTTCATGTTAAACGACTCCATGTGAACCGTAGATATAATCAAGTATTTATCATAACAGCGGTTAATATTATCCTTGGATGACATATAGATTAGATAGCACTGTGTAAGTACAGTGACACAGAATATCACTTTATCTGAATTCATACAGCTGTTGAAGGACTTCCTTTTTCCTCCGATTATCATTTTCAAAATAACAGATATTTTTTATTTGAGTTTATAATAAATACTTCCAATCTGAAAACAACATACACTTATTTGCATGTTTTGCTTGTTCCCAATTAACGTATTTGGAATGCTATTGTAGAAGAAATACTAAGGAACACGGTTACAGTCGTACAACATTTTCCCCTTCTTTAAATTAAAACTTTATTGGCATGTCGGTATTTTTTACTAGTTTTAAAGAAAATTATGTCAGTACGGGAGAACCGTTTTATCTAAAATTCATTGAAATCAGTCGAAAGTTTATTTTGCCCTTGCTTTGTTGAATACAAGTTCGTATTATGATTATGTTGACGTGTTGGTATTTTCTAGAAGGTTATTCCGTCACCAATTTTGTACTAACATCTTCATTAAATACTAATTCCTTTTTCTGTAATTCTGATTGCCATTTTTTTGGTTACACATTCTGAGATAATAGTCACTTCAAAAATTATGTATGCAACTTTTACAAAATGGCAAATGTGTTGGTGTTACAAAGTATACTTACACATATTCCACTGGACTTCAATTACAGTTGATCATAAAAAGTAATAACGAAGAGTATTCGTCGCATTCAGTTCTGCAGTTGATTTATCTATCACGTATTTGAATATAAAAAAAATGTATTTTGAACAGTTATACCTTTCTTGCAATGATGTCATAAACAGTTGTCATCCAAGCATCATAAAACTATAATATGAGCACGAGAAAAAAAACATACCACGGATTACATCATGAATTGACGATTAAAAAATGTTCATGTATAATTACGCAATTAAAATAGCGGTTTCATAGATATAGCTGTATGAATGTTACTTTGTGATATTCAAAGAGTATCGATTGGTCACATAATATTGTATAGTAATTGGATTGTCCCTATATATATATATATGTATATATATATATATATATATATAGGAAAATCCCCTTCCTTATATATATATTCAAGCGTTGGAAGGTTTTTCTTAGTCCTCGGAAAGAAGTTTGAATCGTTGGATTAGGCTTAGAGAAGCAAGAAAATCTCTATCCTTCCTAGACTTCCACCAACACACACTCGTCTTCCTAGTTTATAAAATAATATATAATTTCCCATTCACGGATTAATCTGATATAAAGTTGTTATCATTGAATTGATTGCTTTGTTTTTCAAATCTTGGAATGCCGACATATACATTGAGTGTGATGTTTATATAAGTACGATTTTACAGTTGAGTTATGATAGTAACCCTTGATATCAGTATCAATATTATAACTACAGCAAATAACACCATGTATTTCTGTATATTTATTGATTTATCACCAGGAAATTTTGCGAAAGAAAGAAAGCATACCTATGCATAATGGGTTGAATATGTGGGGGTCTTCAATAAGGATTCGTCAAACAAAACAATCGAGGATAGGGTTAGTACTTCCTCTTTAAGTCAGGTGTACCGATTTAATGTCAAGTTGTGTTTGACTCCGTGCTGAAGGGCTAAAGGGGCAATATTACCCATGCGCAGAACCTCGTTAACCAATGCCTCGACATGTGTCATTTTCGGTTTGTCAGTCATAGACGAAAGTCAACCAAATCCAATAATGTCTTCTATCTCTTGGCGTTTGGTCTGAACATCCGGTTTGTGAAGGAGGAAAAGGATCGCCCACTTAGTAGCTGTATTCTTATAGCTACCTATACACATATTTATCAGTATGATCTGAAAACAGGATATATTAATCACCATAGGTTATCAATTACATTCACTTCAATTAAATTGCAAGAACAGTATGTATTTGTGATAATAAGCAAGAGAAAAACATGGTGTGTTTTAACAGCCAATAGCACATATACTAGCATTACATGTACGTAACTAGGCGCTTACTAATATAAGCAATAATGCGCCCTTTCATCATCATGATGGAGGGATTGATCAACCACATTTTTCTGATAAGGATGGCAAAGATTTCCAACTCATCAGTGCTGGGGAAATTCAAGCTAGCGAAGTCTTTGGTAGACTCAAAGGGTACGAAATTCAAAAAGCTTGGACAGTGCTGGAAAAGTGTGCCAAATGATATGGAATATTGAAGTTATCTGCATACACTTAAAAGGGGGGAATGAGGTATAGAATTGGGTAAGGTTACAACAACCGTGAAAACTGACTGAGCTGAAATCAGGAGAAAAGATTAAGAAGACGCCAGGGAAGAACAGGAACACTAATGTTGTGGAAATATGGGCACATTGAGCACGAGCAAGGCGGAGACAACAAATAAATATAACTATATTGGACACAGTTCCTTCAGAAGTCAGTGAATGACCTGCTGCAGAGGAGAACACACCCATATAGATCGCAACTGAGAGAATCCTTTAATAGTCCTTTGTGTACTAGGCAAGACGCCGTCGTTCTATTTGCAAGTAATGTTTCTCTCACTTAGAAACGATACTAGAGGGAAGGTGCAGATTTGTATAGTCTGTGTAGAAAAGACATCAAAATCCTTCTTAGATGGTCTGACAAATTGAATGTAATTGAATTAAAATATGAGAATTCTGCTACCGAACAGAAATTTCTTTATTTTGAATTTTGAAAAAAAAAAAAAAAAAAAAACATTTTTTTAAAACAAGTAAACCGATCTTCATATATGACATTTTATAACCGCGCGTAACTTATTACTATCGTTATCATATACCGTTTGTCGCGCTTTAGGGCATTGTCCTTTGTGTATGTACCACTGAAAATATCAGATTTCTCTGTCGGTCAATCTGGCTCTCCTTCCCATTGCTTTGAAATGTACCATATCTTTCGGTAGAAATCTGAAAATTGAATAAAATCAGTTGAATTTGACGATTGCATGACGAAAAAGAAAACAAGCCAGACACACCTGCAATCAGTTATACAAATACATAAATGTTATGAGCGAATAAGTCTCAATATTGAAAAGTATTGATTTTATCAAATCTATGTTAATTTTCTGTCAACTCAAGCGGATAGAAATGTATTCTTATTCACTGTGCCATAGGGGAGACAACCTTATTTCTACTAAATCTAGTGCAATAATAAAAGCTGTTTCTTTCCTATTATATGGATATTTTGTGCGTAATATGTGGCAACCAAACTTGTTTTCAATTTCATTTACTCTATCAAATAAAGAAGATGTTTGAACTCCTTGTCGACAGCTTCGCAACTCTCTCTAAACGAAACACTGTAAATAATGTTCGATATACTGGTCTGTGCGATGGCTCCGAGAAAAATGGCGCTCCATTTTTTTTCGGTTACAACATCTAGAATATAGATACTTCTTCCATTCGAGAGATTTCTTCCCAAACTCCAAATACTCTTAAGGAAAACGACAGAGTGTGTTTCCAGAACTCCCCACTACTAATGGCAATACTTATGAAGACAGATGTCTGTATAACTTGTCGGGCTAATTCATAGGAAGTTAATCATTTTTGGCATATTTCATATTTTTCTTACGTTTTTTACCAGATGTTGAAGCGCTTATGCTTCCGTTTATACTTTCATATTTCCTGATCACTATTAAAAGAAAAAATGTTTCATTGGGTAGCTTATTTTATCAGATGCATGTCTTGAGGTATGTGGATATAAATTCGGGTTATTTACAGGGTTAGTTTTGGCTGTCTACAGAGGCCAATGGATAGAAATAGGATTATCTGAAAAAAAGGTATTACTAAGATAAGACAAGTAGAAAAAATATCTTACTTCCAGTAAATGGTTGAAAATTGCATAAGACGTCTCAAATATCAAAAATAAAAGTAGCCATTCTTTTGAAGATTCTTTTTTCCAAGTTTCAAGTTTATTGATATCCTCGGATACATTACAAATGCATTACACTTAGTTATATACAATATAAACACAGACAAATGACAAAATAGATGATAAGTACACTACATAATGTTTACACGATTTTTTGCAATATTTTGGTTAAATTGCTTAATATAAGACAAATAGAATATATTTTTGTACATATTAACTCGTTTACTATTTCAGTATATTCATCTGTTTTAATTTGATCCTATTTCACGAATTCAACAGATTAAGGTTCAACAGGAAAATATTCTTTCGCAATATTTCCAACTTTTAATCAATACCAATATCCAATCAGGAATGGACATCAGAGAACATTGGGTTAAAGTCACAAATTTCAAAACTTCTTATAGAAATAACCATATCTGTACTGAACAGTAAATAATCTAC